ATTCGTATACTTCTCATGATGTGGAGTGTTCTACATATGTCCCTTAAGTCTACTTGACTTATGGTATTATTTAAGTCCTCTGTGTCCTTACTGACCTTCTTTTTAGGTGTTCTGTACAGAATTGAAGATGACGTATTGAAGTCCCCATCTATTATTGTGGAGTTGTCTATTACTCCATTCATAGCAGTCAGTATTCATTTCATATATTTGGGAGCACTGATGTTAGGTGCATATATATTTATAATTGTTATGTCCTCTTGAAGAATTGACTCTTTTATTATCATGTCATGTCCTTCTTTATCTCTTATAATAGACTCTGACGTAAAGTCTATTTTATTTGATATCAATATGGCCATCCCTGCTCTTTTTTGGTTACTAGTTGCATGGAATATTCTTTTTTATCTTTTTACTTTCAGTCTGTTTGTATCCTTGTGTCTAATATGTGTCTCTGGTAGGCAGCATAAGGATGGATCATGTTTTTTTTATCCATTCTGTCACTCTCTGTCTTTTGAATGGGGAGTTTAGGTGATTACTGAAAATGAAAGTACCTACTTCATTCATTTTGGTGATAGTTTTTTGTGTGTCTTATATCTTCTTTGTCCCGTTATTTCCATATTTCCATTATTTTTTGTGTTTAGCTGCTTTTTTGTGTTGAGCTTTTTTGATATCTTCCTTCTTCCCTTCTGAGTATTTTCTCTGAGTAGCTTCTTAGTGGTTACCACAAATACTACACTGAACAACTTACAATTGCAGCAACATTTCAGTTTGCTTGCTGCTGGTGTATAATCCTTCTCATATGCTTTTGAATCTGGTATGCTAGTATTTTCTTGAGGAATTTTACATTAATATTCTTAAGAGACATGCGTCATAGTTGTCTTTTGTAGTGTCTTTGTCTGGTTTTGATATTAGAGTAATGCTCACCTCATAGAATGATTTAGGAAGTGTTCCAACCTTTCTATTATTTGGAAAAGTTTAAGAAGGACTGGGGTCACTTCCTCTACAAATGTTTTAGAATTCCCCAATAAAGCCATCTGGTCCATGTCTTTTCTTTTTTGGGAGGTTTTTGTTTACTGATTCAATCTCATCACTTGTTATGGGTTTATTGCAATCTTTTTCTTCTGAGTTAATGCAGGAAACTTCTGTGTTTCTAGGAATTTATTCATTTCATCTAGATTATCTAATTTGTTGTCATACAATTGTTCATGGTATTTTTTTATGATTCTTTTTTATTTCTGTAGGGTCAGTTGTAATGTCCCCACTTTAATTTTTGATTTTAGATATCTACATCTTCTTTTTTAATTTGTCAGTCTAGCTAAGGGTTTGTCAATTTTATTTCTTTTCAACAAACCAACTTCTGATTTCATCGATTCTATAGTTTTTTATTCTCTATTTTATTTATCTCTGCTCTTATCTTAATTATCTCATTCCTTCTAGTTGCTTTGGATTTGGTTTGCTCTTCTTTTTCTAATTCTTCAAGTTGTAAAGTTAGGCTATTGATTTATAAGCTTTCTCCTTTTTTAATGTAGGCATTTACAGCTATAAGTTTCTCTCTGAGCACTGCTTTCACTGCATTCTGTAAGTTTTGACATGTTGTGCTTTTATTTTCATTAGACTCTATTTCTCTTTTGATTCCTGACCCATTGGTTGTTTAATAGTGTATTGTTTAATTTCCATATATATGTGGATTTTCCAGTTTTCTTTCTGTTATTAATTTCTAGTTTCACTCCATTGTGGTATGAGAAAATACTTTGTATGGTTTCCATCTTTTTAGGTTTATTGAGACTTGCTCTGTGACCTAACATGTGGTCTATCCTGGAGAATGATCCACGTGTGCTGGAGAAGAATATATATTGTGCTGTTGTTGGGTGCAGTGTTCTCTATATATATATATCTGTTAGGTCTAGTTGGTTTATACTGCCATTCAGGTCCTCTATTTCCTTATTGATTTTCCTTCTTTATGTTCTGTCTTATACCTTCTTTTTCTCTTATTTCCTATGATACTGACAACTTTTGTGTTTTGTTGTGAACAATTTTGATTCCCTCCTCCTCTCTTTTTGTGTGTATTTTTCAGACGTGTTCTTTGTGGTTACCATAAGTATTACCTCTAACATCTTGCATTTATAACACCTGGATTAAATTGATACCAATTTAACTTCAGTAACATACAGAAAGCCTATACCTATGCCACCCCACTCCACACTATCTGTGTTGTTGTTATCACCAGTTACATCATTATACATCATGTGCCCTATAACATACATTTATACTTATTTTTTATGCATTTGTCATTGGAAGGCATGAAGGACATGGCTGCTAACATCAGCAAGCAAAAATACCTTAAAACTTGTCTTTATACTTGTCCCTACATTTGCTTTTCATGGAGATTTGTTTGTTTGTTTGTATTTCTATGTATGTCTTTGAGTTACTGTCTAGTGTCCTTTCTTACTCAACTGAGGGACTTAGCAATTAGCATTTCTTGTAAGGCAGATCTAGTGTTATACAATCTCTGAACTTGTTTATCAGAAAATGCCCTGATTTTGCCATCAAGGTGAAAAGACAGATATAGTATTCTTGGTTGAGAGTTCTTTTATTTCAGCACTTGGAATATGTCATTCCGTGGCCTTCTGACCTCCAAGGTTTCTGAGGAGAAATCAGCACTTAATCTTATTGGAGATTCTTTGTATGTGACAATTTGCTTCTCTCTTGCTGCCTTCAGGATTCTCTGTCTTTTGTTTTAGAGAGCATGATTGTAATGTATATCAGTGTGGATTTTTTTTTTTTTTTTTTAGGTTTATCCTACTTGGAGTTTATTGAGCTTCTTGAATGTGCAGGTTTATGTCCTTTGTCACATTCGGAAAGTTCTTTGGCATTATTTCTTCAAATATTCTCTCCGTCTCTTTTTCGCTCTCGTTTTCTTCTGGGATTCCTATGACGTGTGTATTGAATTGCTTGATGTTGTCACATAATGCCATTAAACTGAGCACAACAGTCTAGAGCCTTCTCCCTTGATGCTCTTCAGCCTTCATGATTTTAATTACCTTATCTTCTGGTTCACTGATTCTTTTTTCTCTCTGCTCAAATTGGTTATTAAACTCTTTCAGTGAGTTTCTGTTTTCAGTTATTATCTTTTTCAGTTCCAGTATTTCTGTTTGCTTTCTCTTCATAGTTTCTATCTTCTTGTTTAAATTCTTATTTTGTTCATGTCTTGTTTTCCTTTAGCTCTGTGATCTTGTTTAATATTGTTTTATTATATTCTTCCATTATGCTCATGATTTGGGCTTCCACAGATATGATTTCTCTCCCTTTGTCTTGTTCACTTGAATGAGCCATCATTTCCATTTTTATGTGTACCATGTCGTTTTTTGTTGAAGCAGGACATTAGAATTTTACAAGGTGTTGAATTTCTTAATTCTCTCAAGTATTCAGCGTTTTTGACAGCATTACTTTATACGAGAAACTCTTGGGGGAGAAAACTTCAGGCTTTGCCTACTGCTCCCTCTCCCTCTCTGTGATGACTCTGTTTCAAAAAGTTCAGGTTTCCATCTAGACCTGCTCATCATCTTTCAACATCTCCCAAACAGAATAGACAACACACACTCATCAGTCTATCCTCCAGGGAGCGCAGCCTTCATTCTTTGGTTATTGCTGGTCTCCTGCTCTGTGAGGGCTGTGTCTGACCACATTTTCAGTCCTTTGGCAGCTCCCAAACTGAGTGAACAGCTCTCCAGCAATGTAAACCTCAGTCTTTGTTCCCTGCTCCCTCCCCAACTCTTTGTAGGCTCACTTCTCTCAGAGCCAGAGACTGGGACCCTTTCCCATTCTCAGGAGAGCCAGGGGTTGACTGGGACTATGATTGCTTGTCTTTGCACCATGCCAGGAAGGGGAGGGACAGGCACACCTGGAACAGATCACCCGGGAAATCTGTCTTATTAATTTCAGAGCCAGAGCTCAGGGCTCCTTCCTGTGCACAGACAAGCTGTGGGTTGGATGGGAGACCGAGCGCTGCTGCAGCCATTAGTCTGCACACACCACTGCCGCAGTCCATAGTGGCTGACAGTCCACTGCGCCAGGAGGGAGAGAGGTGGGTAGTGTGGAAGAAATGCTCTTCCCATCATATGAGGCTCACTGTTATTTGGGTCCATTCACAAGTCCTTGTTGCTGTCCTCTGTGCACCGATTCAGGGTCCTGCAGAGCCAAGCACAGATCTCTTGCTGTATTTCTTGGTGTACGTGTGGGGAGGATTGGGAAACTAGGCCTGCTTACGCTGCCGTCTTCCCAGAATCTGACAGTAGTTTTCATTCACAGCAACAATACAAAGTTTCTTTCAAAATACATATATTAAGAAGAAAAAGGGAAGCTGGTTTGGTAAAAAGATTAAGTAACTGGAGCAGTGGGCTGCAGTGTTCCTGCCCACCGGCAGACCTGAGTCTGCAGTGAGTCTCTCACAGCCCATGGAGGCAGTGGGAGGTAACAAGCTTTCAATGACCATTTTCCACTGATGGCATCTGTGGCAAAAAATACAATCACAAAGAGGTATGTACTGCTACTAGGTTTCCCAGTAGAATGCAGAAAGTGTGCAGTGGCCACCGTGACACTACATTGTGGCCTTGCCATGCTACTTGGCATCTCTGAGACTTGATTTCCACACTGAGGACAATGACCCTACAATGCACAGGTCTGCCTCACCAAATGCCCACATGCAGTGGTGCTCCATACTCACTCCTGCTCTCCCTCCCACCCCACTAACCTGGGGCCACAGCACACCCTGCAAATGCTGAGCAGATGCACATATGCACTTGCTTTACCACCCTGGCCCTTGGCCGCCTGCCTGGAGCCCCAGTCCCACAAAAGCCTCAGGGGATGCTTCCTGCTGCCTGCCTGCCCACAAATCCCTCTGCTATGAGCCTTTGCCTGAACCCTCCTGTGATGGGAGCCCCCCTCATCCTGCCCTGTGGTCTAGGTGAGGCCACAGAGGACAGGCCCCAGGCGCTGGTACTAACAGATGGGTCTGGAGGGGGGGTGGAATCCTCGTTCCAGCCGAGGGGGCCACTGAAGGCCTTGAAGGTCTCACTGTTCTGCTTGTGCTTCTCAATGGTGGTCCTGATGACCTGGAAGAAGGTGACAAAGTCAGGGAGCATGTCCAGTACAAGAAGGGGTGGGGGACCCATCCCCAAGGACCACCCACCCAGAGGGTTATCTTATCTCACCCTGACCTGAGATGTTGCATTCCAGCCCCATTCTGAGATGAGGACACTGAGGCTCAAGGATACAAGTCAGAGGCCTTTGGCCCTCAGCTGGTCAACAAGGAGCTGGGGGTCAAGCCCAGGCCAGCTGGCCAAGTCCCTATACTCCATTCTCCCCTGATGTCACCCTGGCTCCCCACCCCAACATGCTGTGTTCCTCCTCCTGCCCAGGACCCCAGGGCTGTGGGTGGACACTTTCTGGGGACAGTCTGTGTTGGCAACTGTCCAGTTCACAGAAACCCATGGCCACATTCCCACTTCCCGGCACCAGCATTTCCACCTAATCTCTGAATTTTGTTTTCCTCTCTTCTTACCCAGAGATTTCCACTTTGTGAATTCTGGAAGCTAGAGGTCCTCTAACAACTAGCATATGCCCACCATGGCCATGGGACTTAATGCCACACTGGTCTGGTTGTGGCTGGAGCCCAGGAGCTCCCTGGGGCAGGGCTAGGTGGATTCATCTCTGGTTCTAGATGCCCTGAGCAGGCACACAGAGCGGTGGTGTCTGCTGGGGAAGGGGAGAGCAAGAGTCCTGCCCTTGGCAGGGGGGGCATGGGTGGGAGCCTCAAACAAGTTAATGGAAGGCTTGTGAGTCTGAAGGTGCTTCTGCAAAGCCGGGCAAATGGGACTGATGGTGCCTGGGTCACTGGGACCTCCTCTCTGCTTCAACATGACAGGACCATGGGGCTCAATAAACTCACCACTGGGTTACTTTAAACTTTAGAGGCTTTACCTGAATCCATTCGTTCTTCTCTTCCTCTGTCCTATAAAAACAAAAAATATTTTATTAACCAAGCCTTTGATGCTAACTATAAACAAGCAGGCTAACTCTCAGTGCACACCTGAGCACACGCCTGAGCAGCACACCTAAGCAGCAGGGGCTGTTTGGCCACTTGCTGCTGTGTACATACAGCTCGAGAGCTTAGAAGACTGCTCTGAGGGCTCCAAACCACCTGTAGCCAGGCGTGGTCAGTTGTGTGTGAAGCCCCATTTCACTTTACCTGACAAAAAAAAAAAAAAAAAAAACCAAACCCGTTGCCATCAAGTCAATTCTGACTCATAGCGACCCTATAGGACAGAGTAGAACTGCCCCATAGGGTTTCCAAGGAGTACGTGGTGGATTCAAATTGCTGATCTTTTTGTTAGCAGCCTTAACTCTTAACCACTACACCACCAGGGTTTCTGCTTTACGTGACAGTGGATGCAAATCAATGCCTCCCTGTAATGCTCAGTGCGTTCTTACTGGACTATGATGTGTCATTACAAAAATCTCCTGTTGTTAGTGGGAGGTGGGGGATGGGTTTGCCCACACGTTGCCAGTCAGAGCACAACCCGAGCATCTGCTTCAGAGGGCAGCTTGACAGTATCCATCAAAATTTCAAACCCACATCCTAACCTTTGACCAGCAACTCTATTTGAGGAATTTATCTTGTGGATATACTGACACATACACACAGAGACTTACGTGCAAGTGCCAACCAGCTTCAGCACTGTTTGCAGTAGCAAGACTCGGACGCCCAGACACCCATCAATGGGAACTGGTAAATGGTTATAATGGCATATTATGTGGCTTTAGGAAACGATGCTCAGGTATGTGGTGATTTCTGATAAACTTAATTTAAAAAAGCAAGATGCAGAACAGGCTCTACAGTAAACTGCCATTTGGGATTAAAGAAACAGATGTGTATGTATGTACATACAAAATTCTGGAAGGATACTTAAGAGATGGTCAGTTGGGGAGATGGAGGGGCAGGAGGTGGGCAGAGGCTTAATTTTCACTGTATTCCCCTTAGGACTGTTAAGTTTTAAAGCAGGAATAAACGAGTAAATTAATGAATAAAATGAATGAGTAAATAAGAACACATTGGAGTTACCCTGTTTAGAAAATGAAGTAATGTGCCAAAACACCAAGTCAGAGATATTCCCCCAGTAGCAGATAGTTAGAAACAGACTGTGCCCTACCGAGTCTGCAGCTCCAAGGACCTTTTCCTTCCTGTTATAACAAACGTGTGAGCTGCATTTGGCTTGACAATATCCTGTACCTAAAGGGACAGTGACAAAAACAAAGCAGTCATGTTAACAGCTGTCCTCAATCCATCCTCACCCCTCTCTAACCTAGAGCTCTTCTCTGAAGAGGTAGAAGAGGAGCCTGTGACCCCAGTGGGCTTGCAGGTCTGCAGAGACAGGCGTACCTAAACTTAGGCAATGAAACATGACATTGATTACATTCTTCGAGTTGTGCAATCATTCTCACCCTCCTTTTCCTCTTACATGAGCTGTTCCGATAGAGGAGGTCCACCCATCCCAGCCTGCTCAGGGCCAGGATTTCTTATCCTTTATGCTTAGAACGCTTCCCATCAAGCCCAGCCTGCCCTTCAAGGCCCACCAGCGATGCTGCTTCCTCAGGGAAACGTCCTCAGCCAGCCCTTGGACAAACCAAACCTTTCCCCGCCATGGTATCCAACAGGCACTGCCTCTCTGCAGCCCATGCACCCTGTGCCCTTAGAGACTTTTTTTGTTTTGTTTGTTTTACTGAATTTACAGAGTAATTTTTATTTTCTGCACACTTCTGTTTTCTAAATTCTCTGCAAACAACACATATTACTTTTTTTTGTTGACGGTGTTGTTGAGAATATACACAGCAAAAACATACACCAGTTAAAGTTTCTGCATGTACAATTCAGTGACATTGATTATATTCTTCAAGTCGTGCAACATTCTCACCCTCCTTTTCTGAGTTGCTCCTTCCCATTAACATAAACTCACTACCTCCTCCTAAGGTTTCTGTCTAATCTTTTGAGTTGCTATTGTCAATTTGATCCCATATAGATAGATCTTAAAAGAGCACAATGCTCAAGTCTTCTTTTAAGAAGACTTCAGGGGATATTTTTGGTTTAAGGTTTAAAGATTATCTTAAAGCAATAGTTTCGGGGATTCATTCAGCCTCCATGGCTTTAGAAAGTCTGGATTCCATGAGAATTTGAGTCTGTTCTTCATTTTCCCCCTTTTGATCAGGATTCCTCTATAGAATCTTTGATCAAAATGTTCAGTAGTAGTAGCTGGGCACCATCTAGTTCTTCTGTTCTCGTGGCAAAGGAAGCAGTTCTTCATGTAGACAATTAGCCACACATTCCATATCCTCCTCCTATTCCTGACTCTCCTTCTTTTTCTGTTGCTCCAGATGAATAGAGACCAATTGTTGTGCCTTGGATGGCTGCTTGCAGGCTTTTAAGACCCCAGGCACTATGCAACAAACTAGGAGCTAGACCAGAAGCATTAAACAGAACTCATCCTATGTGTTTTTATCCTTTTCTCTGCTAGATTAAAGATAACCATTTTCTTGCAGTTTGTGAGTCCTTTCAATGGATTATAGTACCTCAGAAACAGAGAAGGGGCTGGTGCCCACTGACCTAGGCCCGGGTGAATGAGGCTGAGAGAGAGAAAGGGCTGATGCCCACTGACCTAGCCCCAGTGAATGAGGATGAGAGAGAAAAAGCTGTGAGGAGCAGGTGGGGTCTGAACTAAACAGGGAAGGGAGGCTGAGATGTCCACGTGATGCAGTTGGAGTGTGGAGTGGGACTTATTATCCACCAAACTTTTGGCATCAGAGGTGGATGATCTTGGCTTCTTTGGACTGGTTTAGCACAAACTGGTGTCAGTAGAAGATGAGATTCACTAGAGACAGCGACCTCTGACAATGCAACCAGAACGCAAAACAGCAGAGGTGTGGTTCCAGGGGGTCTCAGTCAGGCAGTGATAGAACAATACTGATCCTGCACCCAGCCAGCACCTTGGGCATGGCCACCACCACAGGGCTTCTCCAACTGCTGAAAGGCTGAGAACTTGTGCATTAACAGATCAAATTAATGACCAGACACACTAGAGAAATGGTTTCTTCTACCTATAGAAAACGGATTTTTTTTTCTCTAGTTAGTCATTATTTTTAATGGTGTTTCTTAACCTGGATTTAGCAAATTTCCAGGTGAGAAGGGAATTTTTTGTGTCTTTGAGGCAAACGTCTACCTTTTTGAGATGGTTAAATATTTTAATTTAGCAAATATTTTGGGGGCACCCATTAATCCAAAGCCCTCCCCAATAGGAGTCAGGGACCCAATCTGTCACCTGTGGCCCACCACTATGAGACCCTGCCAGGCTCATGGGACAGAGTGACAACAAGACAAACAGGTGTCTGGCCCATGCTGCACAGGAGAGGACCAGGCAGGTCGGGCACACATGAGTATGTGTACACTCTAGCCAGGGACCTTGACAAGTCCCTTCTACCCCCAAACTTCACCTTCAGATCTGTAGAGAGGCCAGGATCTCTGACCCAAAGGTAAGGGGTCAGCCAAGCTGCTCCCATCTAGGCACTCAGGAGAGGTGGGACCCACCACTGCCCTGTGCCCCAGGCTATGCTCACCTTAGTCTCCAACAACCTCCTGTCTTTGTGTGTCTATGTATCCCTCGACCACTAGACCACAGCACGCTGGCAGGGTAGCCAACTAGAGAAGCAGAGAGAACCTCAGCAAGGACCTGCTAAACCCAGCCCTGAATGGCAGTGCCGTGACAGGCTGGAAGTTGCTCCAGGCCACACCGGCATTTACAGGTAAAGCCTGAGGCTCAGAGGAGTCAGCACAAGGTGCCGGGTCACACGGCCGGTGAGTGCTGCAGCCGCTGGAGACCCAGGTGTTTCCACTAATTTAGCGCTGGGGGTGGGAGGGGGCAAGGCTGGGAGCAGGTGTAGGGAGGAGGGGCTCACCCACCTGAAGGCCCGAAATGTCCATCTTCTCCCGGACACTGAACTTCTGGCCCATGAGCCTCAGCTTGGGCACACAGTAAAGGACCATGCTGTTGAACTGCAGGAGGGAGGCACAGGTGAGCATGGTGGGCACGGGTCCAGTTGTGCAGAGGATCGTGGCCCCGTGTGGCCTGGGAAGGGCTTTGGGGCAGTCCCTGAGATAGGGACCAGTGGTTGCAGTCAGGGAGGAGGCTGAAGAGCCCTGGGGGCCCCTGTGGCCGTGAACCCTGCACTGGGAGAGCTGGGGATGGGGACCCCTACTGCTGTGGGCTCTGCACTGAGGGACCAGGGTTGGGGCTCACCAGGAAGAGGTAGCGGTCCTGGGTGGTGCCGTTCTTGGCTGACAGCTTCTGGATGTGACCTTCCTTGATGAGCTCGTTGGCCGGGTTAACGATGTCCTCCTCCCCACCCAGGCGCTCATACACCTCCAAGAGCTTGTGCATTTTCTCCTGCAAAAGACAAAGGGATCAGGCAGCTGTGTAGCCACGGGGAACAAGAACCTGCCAGGGACACAGGGGTGAATGGAGCACCGCTCTGCAACCAGGACCCAAAACCACAACAGGGTCATGTGAGAGGAGGAGCCTACTGACTTAGGGGTGGGAAAAGAAATACGGGGATAGGGAACATTCAAGTTGGGTATTGGAGGAAGAATAGAATCTCACCATGCGGAGAATAATAAGATAAATAAGATAATAACAGCTAAGAGCATTGCTATGTGCCAGGCCCTGCTCCACACACGATATGTGTATTAACTCATGTAATTTTGACACCAATCCAGTGAGGTAGGTACCATTGTTGATGTCGTTGTTAGCTGCCGTCGAGACGATTCCAACTCACAGCGATCCCATTATTATCCCCAATCTATAGACAAGGAAACGGAGGCACAGAGACAATAAAAGAATTACTGCAGGAGTTTCTGCTAGTACACTGGGATTAGACCCAGCCATCTGGCTCTTTCTCCTGGAGGGCATTCCAGTCTGAAGAAACAACTGGGACATCCAGGGCGTTTGCACTGGGCAGCTATTCCCCTTCCTTCTGGCACGCTCAGCCTGTCTCCCATGCCATCCTTAAGCCATGGAACCCGGGGCAGTCATGTGGCCCAGAAGCCAGCCAATCAGCATGTCACATTCCCCCGGCTGTGTGGCCCAGCAATGCCTTTTGGTGCAGCAGGAGGGGGCCACTAGCTTTTGGACAAGGCTTGGCACTGAGAGTTTCAGGTGCTGGGTTATTACTACCATTTGCTACCACCTGTGCCTGGGCCTACAGTAGCAGCTCCTGGGGGACAATAATCCACAGCCTCAGACACCAAGAGACTCCATGACAGCCCCTGCTTATCAGGACTGCACATTAACATGCAGTAGTGCCATAGCCTAAGGAGCCGTGGCAGTGAAATTGTTAAGCACTCAGCTGATATCCAAAAGGTTGGTTCGAACCCCCACCCCCACCCCCACCCAGCAGCTCTGCGGGAGAAACACTGGCAACTTGCTCCCATAAGGATTAGAGCCTAGGAAACCCTATGGGGCAGTTCTACTCTGTCCTCTAGGGTCGCTATATGTCAGAATCAACTCGACAGCACCTAACAACAACACAACAGAGAAGAGACGGCCGGGGTCAGAGCGCGGCCCTGGCCCACGGATGCTCCCCCACCTCCATACCAGTGAGGTGGGAACCTCACCACAAGCTTTGTGTTATTAGGGAAAAGAACTGCCAGGTGGCAGGCGGGTTGGGGTCAACATGAGTCCACCACTGGGGGAGCCCCACGTGGCCTCCCTCCACATTGCCCAGAGATGCACCCGTGAGGAATTCCCCAGACTTCCATGGGCCACATGACCATGGGGTTCTGAGCAACAGCTCTTTTTCCTTGGTATGTTTAGTCCTGGTGAGGAAATAGGGGAAATAAATTAAAAACACATTGGAAATAAATGGAGTCCGCCTGTGATCTGTTTGGACTGCCAGGAGGCACTCCAGGCCCAGACACACAGGCCAGTGGGTACAAGGGCATGTGAACATCTTGCTTTCCTCTCTTGTTGCCTCTAAGAAAAACAGCAGTGCACGTGTGGTGGAAAAGAGCAGTGACTACTAGGTATCAGCCTTCCGAGGACAGGGTCACTGGCTCACTCTGATGCCAGTATCACAGGCGCAAAGGTGAGGCTCAAGGGTGCCCAGGATAGGCCTACTCAGGGCTCTGCCCAGTCCTCAGATGTGGCCTCATGCAGACCAAGAATGCAACACTTTCTCATTAGCCTTTGTGCCTCCTCCAGTCCTTAGCTCTGAGCCTGGCTCGCAAAAGACACTAATGAAGCTTTACTGAATAAATGAATAACTGAGTGAATGAATGATGATAACACTGAGAGTAATGTTTAATGTGCCAGGTCATGTTCTAAGCACCTTATTTAGGTGACACATTTAATCCCCACAGTGAAATTAATTTAATTCTCACAATGAGACCAGTTCAGGTAGTGTCCCCATTTTACAGACGGGGAAGCTGAGGAACAGAGCAATACGTAACTCACCAGAGACCACAGAGCGAGCAGGTGGCAGGCCTGCTGGCCTGACACTAAACCCCTGTCCTGACCTGGGAGATTGGTTAGGGAGTGCCTATGTGCCACCCATCCACTATGCTGCACCCTGCCCCACCGCCCAGAGCCTCCCCCTGCCCTCACTCACCATCTTCCGAATAGCCGCATTGGAATGGTTTGCTGCAGTGGAAATGAGCTCCAAGGACTCTTCAGGGAAGGAGAGGGCAGAGTTAGCCTGCGGGGCTGCGTCCTCGCCCTAGAGGGCCTGCAGAGCTGTTTCTCCAGAGCCCTAGCATCTGGTCTTCCCTGCAGAAGCCCTGCCTGGATGTCAGACCCCTCCCCATGGGGGCCCAGGCTATTCAGGAGTTTGATCAGGAGGGGTGGGCTCACGGAGGGAGAGGCTGGAAGCAAGCGACTCTCCTGCCCCGGCCTGCCCTGCCCAGCTGCCTGGCTACCCTTGGACCAAGAGTAGCCCCCACTAGCTCCACAATCCTAATTCCTGTATCCTAAACTTGGGGATGCGATGGCCAGCCCTCACAGCCCCTTCCCCAGAAACAATGCCTAGCCTTCACACTTCAAGTCTAAGTCCCCTTTTGATTCATATTTAGGAGGCACTTGGATCTTTCCCTCTCTCTCCATGGCTTGCTAGGTTTTCTGCAAGTGCCACTCACACTTCACTGAGGCCCAGTGTCCTCCCAGGGACCCTCGCTGCCCAGCCCCAGCTTACTCTCTGCATCCCTCTGGTCAGGAGCATCTGCCGGGAGCCTCTTCAGGTAGTCTTTGAGCAGCAGCTCATAGCGGGGGATCCTCTGCACAGGCTCCAGCATGTGGTGCTGCAGTGTCAGATTCCCACACACCTCTTGCTTCTGTGAGAAAGCCCAGCGCAGTGTGTGTGGGACCCATTCACATCTGGGACTTGGCCTACCCACTCTTAAACACCCCCTGCTTCTGTGAGAGAGCCCAGGGTACTGCAGGGGGCCATTCCACATCTGGGACACAGCCCCCTACTTCTTGTGAAAGAGCACTCTAAATCTGAAGTGCTTAACATAACTAAAATGGCTGACATAGGTTTGAATCAAACTCCATTTTGTCCTAGGCCCCTGCTTCTGCTTTTTAGAGTACATGACCCATGACGACACTCTTGACCAAGATGACTCGCTCTGCAACTTTCTGAGATGGCCCACCCAGATTGTTGCAGAAACCAGCTCTGTAATGCAGGAAACTGAGGCTAAGGTTGAGTACTTCAGCCAATAGAAACAGAGCATGTTGAATATCAACCAATCAGATGTACCCCCCGTATTCTTTCCCAACTCTGTGCAGAGTTCTGCAAAATTCAGTATAAAGGACATGTGCTTATGGTCCCTCTTTGGAACACCATTTTGTCATTTTGGTGTTTCCTGATTTGCAAATTTTTTAATCTGAATAAAACTCTTATTTCACAGGCACTCTGTTTTGTTTTTAACAATTATTTGGTGTCAGAAGCGGGACTGAAGGAACCAGCCTATGGCCTTGAAGCCCTTGTCAGACACTAGCAAAGGATCCCACTGAGTCTTTTTAGGCACTCTGTCTCTGTGAGGAGCCTTGGAGGCCATTTGGTGAGTCCTCTCGAATCTTGAGCTCTATCTTGTTACATGCAGCTCAGCTCCATTTTATGCAGAGTTTGGTTTGTGTCTGCAGATGTTTGTCTCTGTCTTTTTGCATGGTCATGGGTTCTGCTGAATCCAGGCCTGCTGATTTCCCTAGTGGATCTCCTACTATATGTTCAAGACTTAACAGGCTTCAATCAAGTTTGTATTTACAACTGTGGCATGCCCTGACCAAAGATAGTTTTTCTGACCAGTGACAACTTTTGGGTTCATTTGAATTGAGAAAATTTGTATACCTGAGATGTAAATTAGAAAACTGTAGAACTAAACAAAAGCTTCAGGATGCTTTTTTTGATTGGTATTTAGAAGCTTCTAAATGTGTCAATGATTCTAAATTGGCTTCTTTATAAGACATGGTATCCAAATTAACCAAGATTAGTAAGTCTCTTAAAAAGGAAACACACAAGACAGTCAACGAGTCCACTCCTTCTGACCTCTCTGTTCCTCCTCTATCTTTGTACCTTACTCTCCCTCCATATTTTGGAAAGTATCCTGGTCTGTCTGAAATGTCATTTCAAATGATGATCTGTTTCTTGACCCTAAAGCTCCTCCAGTGTCTCAGATAATCTTTAAGCCCAAACAAGTTGAAGGGTGAGAGAACAACCTCCCTATAATTATTTTCTCTCCCTAGTCTAAAGCCAAATTAACAGCCATAGCTTAGGAGTTTCCAAAACCCATTGAGAACCCTAAAACATTTAAGTAGGAATTCTACATTTTAATTCAGGTTTTCCAACCTGGTCTGGCTGATCTCTATCAGGTAATCCATATGCTAGTTTGATCAGGAGAGGCACAAAATAGAACTCTTACATCACTTAGAGGCTTTGATAATGGATAAGGTACCTCTACTTTAGGAAAATAATGCTCATTGTTATCCTCTGTGTCCCCAACCTTATGGTCTTCTTCCTCCATAGATGTGGGAAGAATATGTAGTGCACAAGCAATTAAAGTTCAAATTTACCCAATGAAACCACTTCCCAGCATTTCTCAATACCCTCTAAAACAAAAGGCAATTCAAAGGTTAACCCCTGTACTTGAGGAATTAATTAATAAAGGGCTAATAATACCTTAAACTAGCCCATGTAATACCCCCAATTCTTGCCAGTTAAGAAACCTAATGGAAAGAGTCAGAGATTCGTTCAAGACCTTAGGGTCATTAATTGTCTGATGATTCCTCAATTTTTGATCACTCCAAATCCTCATCTTTTGTTGTCTCAGATACCTCTCAAGGCTAAGAGCTTTACTTAGCAGACCTATGTAGTGCTTTCTTTGGTGTTCTGGTCCACCCTAATAGTCAATATTTATTTGCCTTCACTTGGGATTAATGCCAATATACCTGGACTGTCATGCCTCAGGGATTTACTGAATCTCCCAGCTACTTCTCCTCCCTTAAAAATTGATTTAGAGGACCTAATGTTTCCAAATAATTCTCTCCTCATTCAATATGTTGGTGGTTTGCTGCTTTATTCCAGGAATACCTCAGATGGTGAAGAAGATTCTGTATATTTGCTTAATTGCTTGGCCACTAAAGGGCATAAAGCTTCTAAAGGTTTTTATTTGTTAAAACCCAAGTTAAATATTTAGGCCACATTCTAACTTCAGAGGTGATCCAGTTAGATCCACAAAGACTTGAAACCATTTGTAACCATCCCTTGCCAAATACAAAAAAACAGCTTAGAGGTTTTTTTGGGCCCTTGTGGCTAATGCCACAGCTGGATTCCAAACTTTTCTTTGATTGCTCAATCACTCTATGCCTTGCCTAAAACAGAGAGCCCAGAACCTCTGCAATGGATTCCTGAACAAATAGAACGTTTCCATGAACTTAAGAGGAATCTAACCAATCCCCTGGCTTTAAGCCTACCTAGCTATGACAAACCCTTTTCATTATTTGTTCATGAAAGAAACAGAAATGCCTTAGGAGTTCTTACTCAGTCACATGGAAATTAGCAGAGATTTGTTGGATATTATAGTCTCCAATTGGATACTGTAGCCAGAACCTATCCACCTTGCTTGAGAGTAGTTGCAGCTACCACTAAACTGGATGAAGCCATTGCTGACATTGCTATGAGAAATGATTCAGATGTACTCATCCTACATTCGGTAGAATCCTTATTAAATTCTGCTCTTACTCAGAATCTCTCTGTTAGCTGGCTCACTTCTTATGAAATTCTTTTATCCCCTCCACACATTCATCTGTGTCGCAGCAGACTACTTAATCCAGCTACTCTCTTACCTTTGCCTGATTACGGAAATCCTGACCATGGCTGCCTAGATTTGACTGAACAACTGTTAGTTCCTAGGGCTGATCTTAAAGATGTTCCTTTACATACTCCAGATCTTGTTTTATTTACTGATGGGTCTTATTTAAACACTTCTAATCTTTCTTACCAAGCTGGATATGCTTTAACTACTAATACTGTTATATTAGAAAGCTCTCCACTTGCTGAAGCATGCTCCACCCAACAAATGAAGCTAATAGCCTTAACTCAAGTTTGTCACCTAGCTAAATGTCAAAGAGTTAATATTTTCACGAATAGCACGACTTTGGAATGCTATGGAAGCAGTGAGGATTTCTAACCTCTAATAATGATAACATAAAAAATGGACCCCAAATACGTCAGTTTTTAGATGCTTTACTCTTTCCAAAAGAAATTTCTGTCATCAAGATAGAAGCACATACTAAATGTAGTCCTCCTGAGGTTAAAGGAAATACTTTAGCAGATAATGCTGCTCAAGCTGCTGGAAATGTAATTGCTTAGCCTGTATCTATGTACAAGTTGAATGAAGTCACTGCCCCTAACATGTGAGTTCCACCTTATGAATTGGCCATTAAACAATCACAAGAACTGAGTGAAGAATTAAATAAATGGAAATCATAAGGGTGTAAATATGACAAAAATCTAAAGTTATGGATGGGGCCAAATCAAAAACCTGCACTACTTGAAAACCTGAAGGTGCTTATCCTGCACATAATTCATTCTCTAAGCCACTGTGTGGTTGATAAAATGGTCCAAATTATGGAAATACATTGGTGGGGGAAATTCTGTATAGCCAAACGAGTCTGTGCACAAAGTCAAAGATGTCTAAAGACACACCTAAGAAAGCCCTTGAAGGCATCACCAGGAGAATTTCCTCCACCTTTGGGTCCAATGTTGGAATGTCAGATATATTTCATTCAACTTCCTCTCTCTATGGGATATAAATTTATATTAGTAATGATTTGTATGTACTCTCATTGGGTTGAAGCTTATCCTGCTCACCAAACAACTGACACTTTTGTTGCTAAGAAAGTTCTAAAGACTATCGTACCACCATGTGGTACTCCCGCCACTCTCCGCAGTGACAAAGGAATGCATCTTACTGGACAGGTTATTAAAGAAATTTGCAAAATCTTTCCAATCACTCAATTTTTACATACCTCTTATCATCCCCAGTCCTGTGGATTAGTAGGTCTTACTAATAATTAGCAATTAGCATAGGCCTTATTAAATGTTGTATATCAATGGAATTGGGGCCCTGGTGGCGTAGTGGTTAAGAGCTCAGCTGCTAACCAAAATGTTGGCAGTTCAAATCCACCAGCCGCTCCTTGGAAACCCTAAGGGGGAGTTCTAGTCTGTCCAATAGGGTCACTATGAGTCAGTACCGACTTGACAGCATCTAACAGCAACATCAGAGGAATTATTAAACAACCAGTTAGCCAAATTAACTGAAAGCCTAGAGCTGCCATAGGCTAAAGTACTTCCGTTGGTGTTATTAAATCTTAGATCCTCTCCATTTGGAAAACACAAGCTCTCTCCTCAAGAAATAGTCACTGGAAGACCTATGCTCTTAAGTCACATTACTTACACTGATCCACACATTGTTAACGCAGATATCCTTAAGTATTGCAAAGGACTGATGGCCTATTCTCAACGTTGTGTAACACAGGTAGGACAATCCTTCATGGACAGAGATCTCGAGGCTCCTGACTTCTACGACCATGGCCTGCAACCTGAAGACCTAGTCTACTGGAAGGGTTTCAACTCCAAAACCTTAGAAGTCTACTGGAAGGGACTATTTCAGGTGTTGCTGACCATCCAGTGTGCAGCCAAACTCAATGGCCCTGTGGATACACATGAGTCATCTTAAATGTACACCTCCCAATTGTTAGACAAGTACACCAGCAGGTGACCTCAAACTTCACCTATGCAGAGGTCACTCAGAATCAGACAACCACAGAAGTA